TGTTCAGAAGTCGCACTCACAGTTTGTGTATAATGCAAATTAAATATGGCCAGGAAGGTGTGTATTATTCTGGTGGAAAGGAGAACAATGTCATAGGCCAGTAGTTTGTGCTGTCGAGACAATGTCTGCAGAGTATACGAAACAACAGGGCATCCACACTGCATTTTATTTCTTACCAAACAGACTGGCCATTCTTTATGTCTTTAAAGGCAAAGTACCTGATTGTTACAGTCTTAAAAACATGAAAAACAGAGCTAGTTCATTTTAAACTTTGTTTGCAGTAGTCTAAAGTTATTCCTCACTTTGTTTAACAGAATGTGTTTATAAGCGTGCAGAGACCAGCGCTCACTTTTGCCATCATGGCTAAATGCACTTCCTGATTATCAGACAGCAAACTTCTAATTAAACGCTGATAGCATACAGAGGACTTATTTTGACCTCAAGAGCTGCTTATACAATTTATCTGTACTGGGGCAAGACAAATTTTCCTCAGGTACAAAATCTAGTTTTGGTAATATGAGTGTTTATCTTTTACTCAATAACCAACCGTTTATTTACATTCTTACACCACATGTTACCACATCACACACACACACTGAATACAAGTAATATTTTGTGAAAATGTCTTTACATCTGGAATGAAATAAACAACTAATGATGTAGGCTATTTTACTCATTGTGTTGCTGATAAACTAGATGTACTGAATTGAATGTCCTGAGCTGATCTCCATCTCAAATGGCTTCCTGTTTGATTTATTCTATTCTTTGTCGTGAGAAAACATATTTTCTTTTCTTTTCACACGCTGGGCCCATATTTGCATTTTACAACACTGTGCCTAAAAATGACTAGAAACAGCTTTCACAGAGACCAATGAGGTGTCCAATCCAAGAGTGTATGCATGCATATTTGTGTGCAGCTCTGGGAAAAAGAAAAACAAAATATGAGTCTGCCTGGCAAGACAGCTTCTTTAATCTCCTGCACACCGGCTGTAAGGACACCCCGACCAAACTCATTCTAACCAACTCACTGCCAAAACAAAGGAAGCCACTGACAAATGCACAAAGGAGCATGAATATAAGTAATATGGGCTCTACTACTAAGAACTTATGTCTGAAAGATCCAGGGCAACAAGTAGGAGTAAAGATTCAGAAAAGAGAAATGCTCAAGATAAAGCAGGGAAATTGAATGCAAGAGGAGATATGTAATATTTACTTTAACACAAGCCAACTACTTTTATTTGAGTTCCAACATCTAACAGTTTGTCTGTAAGGGCATTTTGTCCAAGGAGTCTGGGGTTGTTTAGTAATTGCATATTTTCCCACATATTGTCCTCACCAATAACATTGATACCCTTTCACATCAAATGATCCCCTTTTTGGCCATACTATCATCAGCTCTTATATTATCCTCTGTACAAAAATAAAAAGATGATTTATATCAGCTACCACAAATTCTAAAAAACAACTTCAACATGTGCCTTGCTTTTACCTCTAAGTTTGGCTCCTTTAATATTGCTCTAACGGCAGTCCCTCTTGTATATTTATGTATTTGCTGTAAACTTTTTACAATGTGCAGGTAAATCAATGGGCCATGTTACGCAGTGCACCTTTAAGGTTAAGGCATACATTATTGATCCCTCATGAGAGAAACTTGATTCTTTGCATTTGACCATTTTTCATTCTTCAACCACCAACCGAGTGCCACTGGGGAAACCTGTCAGAAGTAATGAGCCACTACGGAACAACAGACCCATCTCCAGATCTAGAGCTAGGCTTGGTCAGGACTAGCCTGATTCATCAGCCGGTTTCACTTCGTGGAAACCTTCTGACCTTGCAACATTAGGATTTGTCTGCTTGATGGTAGGTGGGTACATTTTTTAAAAATTTAACCAATTGCTGCTATTTGGTCATGACATATGTAATGCACCAGAACACTCAGTGGTGTCTAAATAATTGCCGGCACAACAGCAAACAAAGCAGAGAATGAAAATCCTCTATCTCAGGAATCGTTGCCAACACAGAATGTATGGCTTTGTCTACATCCATCTCAACAGCTTTGTTTACTGTTGTGCTGTACCACAAAAGGAGCCAGATAGGAGTTGAGTTTGACGTCATGGCATCCCAGCTCTTTGCTGATGCAAACCGTCTAGTGTATTCTGATTCCTGACCTAGTCACTGGAGAGAAATGAAAATGAGTGGAGGCACTAGGTGGCGCCAGCCTGGCTGGTCTGATCTGCAATTTGATGACATTGGTGAACAAAAGAGACCATCAGTATTTATAGTTTATGACAATGAGTAGAATGGGCGTGTACACATGAACTCTTGGTACAGAGAAAAAACATATAAGGCAAAAGTACATAAATGAGGCCACTGTACGTGAACATATAGAATAGTATGTATTGTAGATGTCAGTTGTAAATCATTTAACAAAAACATAAGCTCTTATGGGCAGTGGACACTTCAGTACATTGTTGCAAATCTAAAACACATCTGGATCTGGATCATGAGGAGAGGAACATTTCATATTTACAGCCTTCAATATTCCTTTTCTTTAACCAAATGAACTACTGTCCATAAAAGTAAATTCTAAATAAAAAACATCCTAATCTCCTTATACATTTTACCAAAGAGTTTTTCCCTTCACTAAATATAAGACTGATGGTGAAAAATAAGCAGCACTCGGACACAGAGCTCATCAATATAGCCTTTTCTTCATTGTGATTGGTGTAACACCTGTTGATTAAAGACTGCTTGATTCCACCGGTACTCTCCTCTGACCCTCCTATTTGTAAAGGAGACAAATTAAAGTCTTCAATCAAAATGTGATCAATGCCAAGAAGCCCCCGAAGCAGAAATGAACAGCAGGCCATAATGAAGCCATAATTCAGCTTTACTGCATTGGATATGAATGACAGACACAAGGAAAAGCCAGAAAGGGATTCCCATGTTAACTTATGGTCTCATTTATAATTTCTTAATCGCAGTACAGTAATTGAAATACGGTTGCACAAACTTGGCAGGGAAAATGAAAGGTGAATTTATTTGTTCATCAATTCACTGTAATGGCGAGCGTGACTGACTGTCCGACACAAAATAAGTCAAATGTTTGTACGATTTGACACTGGAGATTAGAGTCAAGCGTTGAACCATAAATTAGGAGCTCATAAGGAGTTCTCTCTGTAATCCAATGCTGTAAAATGTATTGTTTGTTGTTAGGTATGACTTATCACGAATGCTGACTTTTGATAACCCCCAATAAGATTAAATTATAACTTTTTTTTTCTTATTATCGAATTGCAATTTTTCTGTTAAGTATTGTAATTTGATTTGTTTACAATGAAGGATTCTGTGCAGTGTGTGTACAAACTTGTAGTATAAACTGTAGAGACCTAAAGAAGCACTAATATATAAGAAGACATGAGAGAAGATATGAACTGATCTGTATTTACAGATACAGAATTATTATCGAAATAACTGATGCCTCTGTGAATAGACAACTGCAACTCAGATTTGCTAGATTATGGTATAATGTGCAGCCGTACTTTTTAGTACTTAGTGTCTAATTTATGTTATGTTATTTTCAAATGATATTCTACATCTTAATATTTCAAACTTCACTTCAATGAAATTGCATTATTCTTTAGGGCCGTGACTTTAGGGCCTCACACAAAGCGCCCTCTGGTCATGGGCACATGACAGAAGCCTGTTTTCATTCCACTGTTTGTGCACAAACAATGCTAATGATAACAGTATGATGCCAAACTCTGACAGGGAGCAGGAGGTTGTTTTTCTCTATTGATTGTATTGTAAGAAATGCTGAAATTCAATTCAATTCTGCTTTCACGGGGCCCAAAATGATCAAATTATGCCTGGAATGCGCTAATAAGTTTTAATATCTGATTTTGGACTGAGTCATTGGTACTGTTTACGCCTAAAGCTGATGTCTGGAATAAACCTTGTAACTTTTTTGCACATATTAACAAATATGGTATACTCTGACTGAGCTCCAATCACTCAATCTTCTGTTGACCAGTGAACGTAGAATATATTCTTATAAATGAAGGAAAATGGTTATACCATAGTAGTACCAAATTGAAAATGGTCCCTGAAGTTATTTATTTTATGACAACAACAAGCCAGAAGGGATGTTTTAATCACTTGTAGTGTATGGTCTAATAAACATGAGTGTTCTTTCTGTGATTTGATTGACAGGTTTCTGTGTCCTGGTTATTGTTCATTGAACCATATTTTCATTAAACCCAAAGCTGCACTACATGATGTAATATTAAGAACATCAAACTGCCATGAGACATATCTGAGACGATCTGAAATCTATTAGCTCCTTCATGCACCAGTAAGCCAATGCTTTTAAAAGTGTTTCAGATGACACTGGACAACCTGCTATTGTTATAATGGCATTTTGAATCAACTCAAACGTCTTAATATTTTATCCATAATACAGTCAGCTACATTCTCTAACTTTCAAGTAAAATAGTCTGCCTCCATACTAGAATATCTCCTCTGCAAAGTCTAATGGTTTGGAACAGACAACACAAATTATCTAGCACAATAATTTGATGCCAATGGGCACACCGCACTTCTACAACTCTCTAAAATATCAAGGAATGCACACCATAACTGACAGTAAAATAACTATGCTACGTCCAACTAAGTACTGTATCCACCTTCACGTACTCTGTACTGTCAGTATGGCTATAGTGGTCATCCAGGCTGATCTGACCCTTGAAACAAAGTTGATGGAATAAAATAAAGTTTCTCTTTTGTAACTTGTGTATCTAAATTGTGGCCAAAAGGGCTTTCCATATGCCATTTATTAGAGAAAGATAAGGAAGCATTAGCTATAGACTGATTGAATGCTGGTCGTTTCTAGACATTGCCTTCTTTATTCTGCCAGCTGGCCTAAATCCATATGAATAAGGAGTTGGCCTATAACAAAAGCAGCTTTGGCATGCCTCAAAAGTTCTTAACAAGGCACTTACCTGCAAGGCACCCCACGAGTGACTGCAGCACCAGCAGTTTCCATAGCAACGTCATCTTCAATTTTGTAGGGTCAAAGTAGTCTTACATCCAATCACCACAATATAGAATCCGATTTGCACTTCGCTGGCTCCTCTGTTTGATCTGCAGGGGAAGCAGAAACAGAGAATAGCATTACATTTTCTAAACACATATGAAATACTGGTAGAAATGTCCTTATAAACATTAAAACTATTATTTTTGGAATACATAGTAAAAATTCTTCTTTGAGGATTAAATATGAATTTGCAATTAAAAAGTGTAAAATATGATTAAAGACACATTATTGCACTAAGGCAGGAGTTTTTTCATCAAGGGCCACATATTTAAACACAGATGAAGCAGAGGGCTGATTGAGGGCCGTAGACTGGTGCTCAGTAAAGTGAATAATTGAAATATGTGCATGTTTAACACATTAGAATGAGCCATCAGTCTTTATTCATGCTAAAATCCTTAAAACCACACACTAAATATTAAAGATTTGCTTTATCAAGGTAGATTTTCAATAACTTGCAAAAAAAAAAACAACTTCATTTTTAATTGATTCAAGGTAATTTGGGGCAATTCACCTGGAAGCCTGAGGGCCAAGAAAAAACTGTCTGAGGGCCGTATTTGGCCCACGGGCCATAGGTTGGACATGTCTGCACTAAGGTCATAACTGGCTCATAATTGAGTAAAAATCACACTGTAACTTTTTGGGTGAAGGGTCCGTCACCAGATTATGATCCTCTAATAAATAATGTTATTCTTGAACTTATATCTTGCATTCATTCAATTTCCAACATTTTCACTACAAAAGAATACCTTTATTGAAATTAATCAGTTTAATGCTATACTATGGAACATTCCATTCAATGGATAACAATAATAAAACTGTATGTCAAATAAAATATGTGTATATATGCACTTGTGTAGCTGCCTAGTGTGTAGCAGCAAGATTAATGACAAACAAACAGAAATCGCAATTAGCAAATCGCAGAGGTTGCCATTTGTGGAGTAGCATAGTTTCCTCCGCATACAACAAAATTTACCATCCTATTCTGCAAAAAACTGCTAATTCTTTAGTTTAGATCTGTAGAAACATGTTATGAAATGATGTGTAATTCTTGTATTAGTTTGTTAAGGAGTGTGTGCATAGGATAGAAATTTGCATATTTGGGAACTCTGAGCATATTTGGAGCATAAAATCTGAGCATAAAATAAATATTTGTAAACTCTCGAATGAGTCCAGTCATATATAAAATGTATTGTGTGTATTTTATCCATCGAAATATGAATTTGAAAAGTTACGACATCAAAGAATTACAATCACAAAATGAAAATTTACAATTACGCTTTCTTCAGTACAAATACATATTCACAGACACGACTTTACTGTCAAAAATATGTCATCACTTCACAGGCATTATTTATTGAGCAGAAGAAACATCCATTGAGCCCAGAGGTGCACCGTAGGCGAAAGGATCGGCGCAGAGCTCCGCACCCCACAGGGCTTAAGCGCAGCCATTGTCCGATCGCACTTTGCAGACACCCTGCTCTGTGGGCTTGGAGTTCTCCCTCTCTCTCTCTCAAGTCAAAATTTAGACCTGGTTTAGACCTGGTTTAGACCTGGTTTAGACCTGGTTTAGACCTGGTTTAGACCTGGTTCAGTCCTCCTGATTCAGTCCTGCCGGTTCAGTCCTGCCGGTTCAGTCCTGGGATCAATCCTGGTTCAGTCCTTATGCAGTGCAAAAGTCACTGATGTTTCTTCTGCTCAATAAATAATGCCTGTGAAGTGATGATGTATTTTTGACAGTAAAGTCGCGTCTGTGAATTCGTGTTCGTACTGAAGAAAGCGTAATCGTAAATTTTCATTTTGTGATTGTAATTCTTGATGTTGTAACTTTTCAATTTGTATTTTGATGAATAAAATACACACAATACATTTTATGTACGATTGGACTCATTCGAGAGCTTACGAATATTTATTTTATGCTCACCTACAGCCAAATATGCATGGATTTCTATCTTATTCACACAAATATTTCTGAAAGCTTTCTTACTCCATAGTTTGTCAGTTCGCTTTTCAGTATTTTGTCAGTCCTTCTGGACCCCTTGAAAATGTGAACTTAAAATAGAATTTTATTGTTAAAGGGCTCATATTACACAATTTCATAAACTTTCAAATGTATTATTGTCCCAAAGGGAAATTGTTGTTTCCTCGTCAAAAACATATCTGTTTCGTTTCATTCACACAAGTTGAAGACACAAACCCTGAAAATTTAAGATGAATTTTCCTCTCAAATTGAAAACCTTCTGTTCCACCTTGTGACATCATGTGATAATACAAGAAGTGCTCCGCTATGTTCTTAAACTCCATGCACCTTCACTGGAATCATTTGGGTCATTTCAGCCCTGGAATAATTTTTTTCTAAACAAAAGGTAGCTGTCAACTTAAAAACTTTAGCATCATGATGTCACAAGGTGGAACGGAGTATTCTGAGCTTTGGAGATGTGGTCAGGTAAATAATAAAGGGCTAAAACAGGGGTCGGCAACCCAAAATGTTCAAAGAGCCATACTGGCCCAAAAAACCAAAAACCATACCTGCCTGGAGCCGCAAAAAATTTAAAGCCTTATTTAAGCCTAATATGAAGACAACATAGGCTGTCAGTATATTAGCTATATAAGTCTACTATTAAAATGACTAAGTAGGCTACAAATACAAAATGAGCATTCATGATTACACAAACCCCTTTTGCGTCCCTCTCATACTGGCTGCTCCGTCTGTAGCCACTGAAATGAGGTGGTTAGTGTTTACTCCTTTGTCATTTAGGTCCCGTTTACACGTACACAGGTATTTTTTAAAACGGAGACATTTCCCTTCGTTTGTTCACATCGTTTACACGCAAATGGCGAATTCACCTCTGAAAACGAATCCTTCTAAAAACTCCGGCTAGAGTGGAGATTTTGGAAAACTCCGGTTTCACGTTTGCGTGTAAACTGAGATAAACGGAGTTTTAGGAGCTGATGCGCTTTGGTTTGTTATATGTTGTTCTGAGCGTCCATCTGCACGTGTTTGTTTTTTTTTTCGGGGAAAGCGCTTCTCAGGTGGAGGCACCGGACACCACCCCCCGCTTCAGCTCATCTATTTGTTCTGCTGAAATACTTTTCATGAGTTTGCATTTGCACACACAGCTGATGGATCAGATCCATGACCAGAGATGAACGAGGGTTTTACCCCTAAAGAAACCAGATTAAAACAACAACAAAAAAATCATTCCTTTTCCATTTTCACTCATTTTTGAAAAAGCTCCAGGGAGCCACTAGGGGAGTACTAAAGAGCCACATGCGAGGGTTGCCGACCCCTGGGCTAAAACAAAACAGTAACAGCATTCTCACATGGCTTAAAGTGCACAAGGTTCTATTTTGCGTAATATAGGACCTTTAAAACATACATCACAAATCTAATCACAAAAACAATGCGATTAAGTATTTTCCATTTATCACTCAGCTCTAACTCATGTTTAGACCACCAATGCATTTAACCTCACCATAAATGTTTATCCATCACAAACACATATTTTTGATGTTCCTAAAGGTGTTCGGGTGTTTTATTGATGTGTGGGCATACAGAAATATATTTTAATGCACACATATTTCAACACAGAAGAAGAATGCTTTTATGTCACTCTATAAGATAGCTCTGGCTGCACTGTTCTTTCACACAAGCAGCCAGTTCTTTACGATATAGAGCCAAGAGAAAATGCAGAAACATCTAGAAGAATTCCAACTGCTCACAACATAGGGCAAAATCTCCCCAGAGTGAGAATTAAAAGTTTGTTGAATGCTGGCATGGTAACAGATCTCCAAGTTGTGGTTTGAGGGCTTATATTTGACAGCCAGAGAAACTGTCACGTATTACATATTAACTGTCAGTATGCTCCCTGCACGGTACGGTCTTTGTTAGGGATAGACCTGTCACGAGCACTACAATATCAATTTATCATTCAATATATGAAAACTGGAACAATATATTATTGAGGTCAGCATTTACCTTGTGTAAACTTTCTTTGCACAAGGAAATGTACAGTTATTTTTGCTCTACGATAAGATTTAAGCCGTAAAAAGGCTGAATTAATGACTTCTGTTGCTCATTACGGATATAAACTAACTACTAAAGTGTTTCATTCTGCTGTTTATTTATTGCAGCTCATGTTTTTAACAAGATTGCAGATTTAGAATAATTTTTGTGGTTTAAATCTGCTTTTGGGTTATTGTATCAGTGGAATAGATTTTTTTTTTTTTTTTACTTCAGCAATACATCAAACTTCATCTATTTAGGGATACAGAAATTTGCATTTGCCCTTATGTCATTTTTAACCCATGAAAAATGTTTATTTGAAGTCAACGAACATATGTTTTTGCCATAAGACAAATTCAAGTTGACATATTGGAATTTGTCAACATTAACGATAAATTAAGTGATAAAATAGGGTGCAGCTAATGAGAATATGTTGGAAGTAAAAATATTGTTGGCCAGAAGCAACCCATGTGTTATTATTTTACTAATGAGGAGGAGTGGGACGAGACAATTTTCACGAGATGCGCCAAAAGATTGTGTCCATGAGAATGAGAGATGAGATTTTGATTAATAAATTGTGCTGTTCAGTTCACAAGTTTGGCCTCAGAATTAGTATTTATTCAATGTAATACTTATTTTTAAGGCTTTTTGAAACAACAGCTTCTCAAATTGTATCACTTCCCAGTGCTTAACCCTTTTTTTTGTCTGATCCAAATATAAACTTAAGGGGGGAAAAGCTCACAAGATAATTTTCATTTTCTCTATCTTGTGGGATGAGATCTTGTCTCTTCCCTATAATGAACAAAGGGAAGTGAGTGGTTACAGTTACAGTTACAGTTACATTTACTTGACAGTACTTCATCTGCTTTGTAGAAATTGTGCCTCTCAGTTGTACTGCAGTGTTGTTTTCTGAGCAATATTGCTGAATAAAGTAATCTTGGGTAAAAGTTTTGGTTACTCTTGATGATAATGATCTGCACATTTCTGCTTCTTACACTTTACCTCTAAATTTGTGTGGTCTATTCCAGAATGTGTACATATTAG